ATGTTTAGATCAATATGTTGCTCCCAAAGCAATTTCTTGGGAGAGAGTGAGTGACTAAATGTAATGCCTAAAAAGTTTCTTGACAGAAAACAGGACAAGGTGATTTAGGTTTAGGGGAAGAAATGAAATAGGAGCATTAAGTACTTAGAGCTCAAAACAGTCAGTTACTTGCAACCATCAAAACAAAGTGTGTGGAAAAACCGCCATTCCCCTGTCTTGTGTGCTTGGATGTGTGTGTGTGTGTGTGTGTGTGTGTGTGTGTGTGTGTGTAGGTGTGTGTGTGTGTGTGTGTGTTTTAATCAAGAGATAAATTGTCTGTGTTCTTCTCCATGAGTAAAGGTGGAAAGGAGAGCAGTCATTAATCATCACCAACTGTTGAAGAATGAATTCAAAATTATTTGGCTCGGCCCCTTTGCCCATGCATTTAATCCCAGAATGTGGGAGGCAGGAGGCATAGATCTCTTTGATTTCAAGACAAACATGAAACATATAGTGTATTAAAAGTTAGCTGGAATACATAATGAGATCCTGTTTCAAAAAATGTTTTTGAACATATGTAATGTAAGATTTATTAGGGACTCAAAAATAAAGAATTTATAAACATGCTAAGTGTTTTTATATGGATAATTAATTGATGATCACTTTCAACAAATGTCACAGTGAAGGAACAATGACAAGAGAGCCAGAGCAGAGAAAGAAAAAGTGTGTCACCTTCAACAAAGGTAAGAATTACTCCATCTGTCCTACCTTCCCTGAAGAAGAAGGAATAAGGAAGAGTAAAGATTTTAGATCCCAAAAAGGAGTTAAGGAAAACAAGTATACATCAAGCACTTTCAAGTGTGAAGTATTTTTCTCAAAACATTGCTTATTTTACTTTAATGCTGATATCTGTACAGCCTTTGAATAAATGAGAAAACATCTTTACACAGCACATGTCTTCCATAGTCACATTGCAGCAAATAGGATTGTCAGAAATACAGATTCTCCTTGAGTTTGATGACAAATGCCTTGTATTTTGCACTGCATATCGCTAACACATCTCACTGCCACTAAAATGAAATTAAGCCACAAAAAACCTTAATCAATTATTTTCATTAACTAATTTCCTACCTTATGATGTTATTAAATCATCTGAGTTCTTAAATATCTGTGAAAGTTCTCAGTTTGGAAAGTTTTGGCATACTGTATAATTGTTTTCTTTAGAAATCTCCTACTTTAGGGTGGAAGTGTTTCTTTTACAGTGAATGCATTGATTTTAGGAAGACTTAACAATCCTTATATGTTTTCCTTTTCTTTCTTTTCCTTCTTCCTTTTTCTTGGTCCCTGCCTCCCCTCATTCCTTCCACCCATCCCTAAATCAATCCCTCCCTCCCTTTCTTTCTTTCTTTCTTTCTTTCTTTTCTCTGAAGTGCTAGAGGTTGAACATAAGGCTTTGGGAGCATTGTAGGCAAGCACCCTACCCATTATCTCTGCCTTCTGTCTTTGTTAAATAGAACATGGTAAGGGTGTATATCATTTCCATGCTGCAAAGCATGATTCAAGAATAAAAACTGAAACAAGGAGCTGGAGAGATGGCTCAGAGGTGAAGAGCACTGGCAGCTCTTCCAGAGGTCCTGAGTTCAATTCCCAGCAACCACATGGTGGCTCTCAATCATCTGTAATGAGATCTGGTGCCCTCTTCTGGCCTGCAGGAATATATGCAGACAAAACACTGTAGATATAATAAATCTTAAAAAAATTGAAACAAAAAGCAAAGTGAAGAGAATGACATCATTCTGTATTTCAAATAATTATCTGCTTCTCCGTTGAGTCTGGAGAGACTTTGTGGCAGTGGCAGGAGCACCACGTAGTATTTACTTTCACCAACTGACATCACAGTGGCTTTTATACCTAAGCTGCCAATGGCAACCACACTAAGTAGAGAATGCAAAACCCTCTTTTCTCAAGAGGTAAGATGAAGAGAGTCAATATTATTGTAATGGAGACAGCTTTGTGTCACTTTATTATGAAGTTTGCTGTTCATGGCATCTGTGGTGGTGAGAACTGACTGAGGCCTACTGCATAATAAGCATAGGCTTTCCTACTGAGCTGCAATCCCAGTCCACTAGTTGGTGGCTCAAATGGCTGTCCCGAGACATGGGGGAATGCTGAAAAGGCACACTAAGTTTCCTTGACTTTAAACAAGACAAAAATGAATGATTTCATTTCTTTTTTTGGTTTATTTATGTTTATTTTAGGGTTTTTTTTGAGTCAGGGTTTTTCTGTATGTATATTTGGAGCCTACCCTTTAATGTATTCTCTACACAAGCTTGCCTTGAACTCCCATAGAGCCTCCTGCCTCTGTTTCCAAGCACTGGGATTAAAGGAGTAAGCCACCACTGCCAGCCTCCAATGTTTCATTTCTAAAAGCAAATTGCAAGTGAACAGTGAAGGATTGAGTGAGTTTATTGTTTACACATGTGAACTTGTACAATGATCCTATGTCAGAAGGAAGCCCATGGAATTTGTGCTCCAGTCTCACAGCTGCTTCTCTGATGCTCTTGCACTTGAGGTCGAGCTTGGGGTTATTAATCCCAAGGGAGAGATCTTTCCAGTAATTCATTTCAGGGGAGATGATGCCTGCTATCATGAGCATCCTTTAAGCTGCATATAAGTCTGGAACACAGATGGAACTAAGGATATTCATTCCCCAAAGGGGATGAGGAGAGAAAGCTTGATGCCTGCCCTCCCTTGAGCTGTTATGTAAAGGTCCCTGTCCCTCTTCTCTTTCTTTCTGTCAGGTTTTATCCTGATACAAAGGACAGAAACAATACATATAGTCCCAGTGGTAGGAATTTGCCTGATAAAATGAACAATTTTAACTAAAAGGCTCAACAAGGTTCTTCGTTTCCTTGAAGAACAAAAATATGTATAGGCCCATGGACCCTGTTTTCCATTTTGAATCTGTTGTTTTGTTTGTGAGACACAGTTTTATTGTTATATAGTTCTGGCTCTCTTGGGAATCACAGGGTGATTGTTTATTTTTAGGTATTGTGCTTGATAAATTTAAGTCTTGTTTGATTTGAAATAAACAAAATGGATTAATTCTACATGAATAAATTTCCTAAAAAGAGTATTTACTCTAGAATAGTCTAGATTAGTCTCAAAAAATGGATACTATGTATCTAATCATTTTATATGTTATATTTCTCTAGCATTGTAACAAATTCATTTTGATTTTTTTAGAAGTACATTACAATACCAATAAGAAGCCTTTTTGCAGGTAAGGTCTAAGAATACAATAATACTAAGGAAATTCCAAGATAACAAGCCAATTATTGATTGTATTCTCAGATAGATACTGATTTATACACTCAATTTTTGCTTTGTCTTACACTCGCCATAGTATTATCAATGTATTTTAGCCAGAAATATTGTTGTTTTTAGATCGTAGACATGAGTTGTATACTCAACCATCATATCCCAAGTACCAATTCTGCGTTTTGGAAAATGAGCCTACTGATGAAAACCACACTCACTATGTCCATCTGACATTTAGTGCCTTTTCAATTTTTTTCTGAAATCAGCTAGTGAACTAGATCTTCATCGCATTTGTCAATCTGAGAGCTGACAGGACTTGGGATCATTCTGCATTATCACACAGTATTACAAGAAGCCAACAAATTACTTTCTTCCTTTGACACCATCTCCACATGCAGAGGCCCTTTTGTTCTGCGTAGGACCCTTTTATAGATGGTGGAAGATCCCATGCCTTCCTTCTACCACAGTGCTCCATCCATCACTTTTCCATTCCTTTGAGCTGTTTTCTACAGAAATTAAGTCTCTGAATCTCAGTAGATTATCTGGATGTGGAGAGCCAAACTGTGGCATGTTTACTCTTTATGTGTCTATAAAAGGGGCTTTGTCTTCCCCATCAGTAGGACATGAACATAGAGTAAAAGGCCCCTTCTGTCAGTGATCTGCTATCTCAGACACTGATTTGGCAGAAAATTAAAGGTGGTATGTCAAGCTAGTTCTGTGCTCATCTTAATTGATTACTTCCATAATAGAGGACAATTGTGTTATCATTTGTTGGAAGATGTATCATAAAGCATTTGATACACATTAGTAAATTGCTTATTTCTTATTATTTATTAATAAATTACTCCAAGTTAAAAGGTCCAAAGTACAGATTCATAAATTAAAGTAGCTACAACTGTTCAAAGACACACCTTGTAAAAACCATGTTCTCTTCTACTAGGAATTCTAAACTGTCTCAAGCTAATAACCTGAAATTATCCACTGAGTTTTATTGTTGTTTGTTCATATTTTTATCTCATTAAGTTAATAGCAATGCTCATTTGGCATAGGAACAGGCCGATTGTGGTTTCAAGATTCACTCATGAATGGACTACTAAGGGACAGCTTGAGCATATCCTAGGCCATGGTATCTTGTCAGAGTGCTAGCAGAAGCAGGAATCTATTCTATGGTCCACAAACAAACCTTGTGAGAGATAGCATCACATGCATTGAGAGCCCACAAAGTAACCTGAGAGAGAGGGGTTCTGTGATGCTCTAGGAGCAGATGATGACATGACAAGTGGAATCGGGGTACTAATTACATTGAGCACAAGAGTGACCATCAGTTACTACAATTTTAAAAAAATGTGCTGGAAAGAAACTACTGTCTTTGGTGTTCTCTCTCTATCTCTTTCTGTCTTTCTCTCTTTGTCTCTCTTTCTCTCTCTCTCTCTATCTCTGTCTGTCTTTCTCTCTTTCTCTCCCTCGTGTGTTTCTATGATTTCGGTGGACTAATTTCTGTGGACTAAATCTTTCCTTTCTTTCACATGGGAAAATTTTTTAAAAAGTGTCACCAAACCTAATCAACTGATTGAAGGACAAGTTAATGCTTGACTGTAAATCTCTAATGTATGTTAGGAAATCAGACAGCAAATAATCAAAGCATTTGGTAAATGTTCTTGTATGAATATTAAAATATTACATTTTAAAATATGCAACAGCGGCATACGACCACCTGGAGAGCTGAAACCAATACTTAAGAAGTCTCTTCAGATCAGTGGAGGTAAGAGTAATCATGAATACTTTGCTGCTACTTCCCTAGTTTAAATAGCAACTTAATTCATTCAAAAAAGGAACAAAGTAAATAAGATATAAACGTAATTTCATTTTTTAAAATTTGGTTCCTAATGTTCTTCACATTCAAAATTATTTCAGAAATGATTTTCTGAGAAATTTCAGTATCAAACTATATTATCTGAACCATGTTTATTTATTTAACCTGAGCCTCTGATGCACACAGTATCTTTGTATAAATAAAAGGACCTCTAACTAGTCCACAGTATGTGTCCTATAGAATTATGTGACAGCAATTTTGCTTGTTATAAAATGAATTTTTCTTTCATTTTTCTGATAAATATATTACATTTATGCTACATATATATTAGTGTCAATGAAAGGTGATCATGTAAAAAACAGAAATACAGTATTCAATTACTTTCATTAAGGATTTTGAGAACTAAATTAGCTACATTTTTTATGGGTTTTGTTTCTTTCTATAATTTCTCTACTTAGACATATTAGAAAATTCACATATGGTTTTATGTTTATCTTTAATTATCTGCTATTTAATCTGACTATTTCTTGGCATAAGAAATAATAGGCTTGGTCAACTTTTTAAAAAAAATGGACTTTGAATCCTGTAGGCAGTGCTGCGGATTGAACATTGCCATTCTAAGCATTCTAGACTAGCGCTCGCCCTAATGGCTATACCACCAGCACCGTTTTTCCTTTGGTTTTATTAGTGTAGGATATGGTGATACTTGGTTTATATGCTGGTAGACATATACCACAATTTACCACAGTAGGAGGAAGGCTGAGAAAAGAGCATCATTCTGCAGGAGACAGCACTGACTGGTCCACTGAGTCTGGATAAAATTCTAAGAGTGGGAGGAACACTACAGAGTTTGGGTTCTCCGCTGTCACCACAGTGTCTTTCACACCTGCCTTACCTATAGAGAGCACAGAATCAAGTGAATAGTAGTACGTAGAGTGTAGAGTGTCTGAAAGACTTTATTGAAAAGAGTCAGCATTATTGTAATGTGGGTGACTGTCCTTTACATTATTTCCACACTAAATTTCCTTTGTGGTGACGATGGTTGATGGAGGTCTCTCACATGCTAAGCCTCATTGGCAGTCCATTTGTTGGTGGGACAAATGCTCTGCCTCAGCCATAGGGAATGCCAAGGAGGTTATACTGCAGTTTCCATACTATGAATGAAATAAGCAAAAATTTGCTTATTCCTTTGTAGAGGGCAGGCTGTTAGCATGCAGTGAAAGCTGCTCACTTGAAGCTATGTATGTGTGGACAAAAACGTTTCCTGTGAGGTACTACTCCCATGGAATTGCTGCTTTTTCCCCAAGTTTCTTCCTTGCTTCTCGCCCTGGAGATACAGTTCAGGGTCATAACTACTGCAAGGGGCTTTCCCATAGCTCTAGTACCATGGGAGGTGATAGCAGCTAGTGCTGAGGTTCTTTGCACTGCCTGTTAGCGAGGGATCAGAAGTTAGAACTGAGGGGCTTCTGCAGCTTCCTCAGAAGCACTTGAAGAGAGTACACACAATGCCCCCCCCCTGTCTCTCTCTCTCTCTCTCTCTCTCTCTCTCTCTCTCTCTCTCTCTCTCTCTCTCTGTAGCTTTGCCACCCTGGCATCTGGAAATTCTTTGCCCTTGGTCTACCTGTGTTTCTTAACTTTTGCTATGCTGCAAAGAGCAGTCCTCAAAGACTTAGCTTCCCTGTGTCTGGAATTTTCATCTTCAATGAAATAAGTTCAGCTTAATCTTTAGAGAGGCTCTTTTCACTTCCATGCAAGATGAGTACGCTCACTTGCAATTCTCCTAACACCACTAGTCCAGAGACAAATCCAGCAGCAGCAACACTGTGCTACCAATTAACACTTCAGCTTGTGATATTGATTCTGGTTAAGATGTCAGTTTTTCTGTTTGATAATGCTCATGATCATAGGTTATTTTGTATACCAATTTATTATTAGTATCGACCTTTGATAAAATTGTCTCTGTATTTTAAACATACAAAGAAGTGTAAATTAAGAGTTATCCTTGTTTTTATTGTCCATAAATCAGTATTCACCTTGAAGGCTACACAGATTCAAAGTATATGTAGTAACGAAGCATTGGCCTTGGCATTCAATGCTGTTTTTTCTACAGTTGCTTATAACATATTTTGCCTTTCGACTCTGTAGATAATGGAAGAAATCAAGACCAAATCCCACTCAGGTAAGAATGTCTGGATTTTAAATACAATATGTAGAGAATATAAAGTTCAGAAGCTGGCACCAAGTTTTCCTCTGTGTAAGACAATTTTAACTTCTTGATTATTCGCTAATGAAAGCTGAATTATGCCTCAGATACAGCGTGCAATGCTGTTAGGACTCCCTGTCTGTGGCAGTGATTCAGCAGATAAAATGCTGGCTGTGCATATGGGAGAATGGGAGATGGATGCCCAGGGTCCACATGAGGCCTGTTGGTCTTGTGCGCTTCTAAAATCCTGGTGAGCTTTGGTGAGATTGCAGGTGGAGACAGAGCATACTCTCACATTTTCTGGATGTCTTGCCTGGATTGCTAGCCTGGGGCTTGCATTCATGAATGAGATTCAGCCATATAACTAAGGCTGAGGGTGAGGGTCGACACCAAAGTCTGTACTCCAATCACCACACCTATACACTGGCACATATTTATCTGAAATCATACATACTTACAAATACACTGCACATAACATGCAGTTACATATATGTAAAAATATTAGTTTTCAGGCTGTTAATCCTGTTTACTAGTATGTTGGGGACAAGGTGTCTGCTGGGAAGAGTGTGGGCAAAACTCTCCCAAACTTTGCTGAGAAAATCACCTCAGAATGGCCTTATAGAAATGCTTCTGTTCAGCAGGTTTATTTCCCTCTTAATGAGTTCCACCTCTGTGGTGAATCCCTAGGTAGGTGGAAGTTAGAAAAAGAAAGTGTTTGTTCCAGAGTTTGTTAATCAGAAACCCTGAAATTAGGAACTTTTAGCTGTAGATCAGATGAATCAAAGCTGAGGGGACAGTGTTGCTCCCTAGTGTCCTATAAAATGACTCAGAAATACCCTTAAGTATAAAGAGTTTCAACATATGCATGTGGACACACTATCAAATCTTCAAGGCACCAAAATATGATGACTTCTGAGACTGATGGCAACTTAATGCTTAGACATAGAGTCCATTTCATGTTTTCCCAGAGCAACTCTTTGAAGAGAGTGCTATGAAATGAAATGCCTATTTTTTTTTTACAAAAAACAGGCCATGGTACATTAGGTTTAGGGGAACAAATGAAATAGGAGCATTAAGTGCTCAAAACAATCAGTTACTGCAACCATCATAACAAGTGTGTGCAAAACTCACCATTTCCCCCTCTTATGTGATTGTGTGTGTGTGTGTGTGTGTGTGTTGCATGTGTGCATGTGTCTGTGCCTGTTGCATGCTTTGCATATTTTTTTGTGCAGACATGAGGGAAAGAGGAGGATATTGGTGTCTTGCATCATTCTCTAACTTATCCACTTGACATAAGATCTCTGACTGACCCTGGAGCTGGTCTGGCAGCCAACAAGCCCAATTGGTAGCCTGTTCCACCCACAGTACTGGGGTACATGTGCATGTGTCCATGCCCAGTTTTTTATGTGGATGCTGAGGATTCAAACTCAGGTTGATCTGTGTTGGCAGCAAACATTCTTATTGACTGAGCCATCTCCCAAACCAATGACTTTTAAAATTTTTATTTTTAAATAAAACTATGAGTGAATCTTCACTGAATGTTACATAGATTGAGACAAGTTGAAACTGCCAAAGTAAAAACTTTTTAAAATGGGGGTCAACGTTGAATTACATAAATGCAAAAATGTCACTTAGTGCACAGATCTTTCAAGAGAGATGCTCTAAGGACCAAACTCACCCCTCACTGCATGTTTTTATTCTAAAGGCTCTCTGAAAACCCTCATGTTACAACAGAGGACACGGCCACCACCTCTGCTATTAAGGTAAAATTCTCCTTTGTGAAATTTGTTTCCTTATGAATTTTGTTAAAATGCAGCAGTACTCTACCTATCACAGTTTTATATGGAAATTTGGTCAGAGAAAAGTGAACCATCCGTTCTATAAATTCCAGTGAGCAGTAAGTCCTTGCAGATAGCGGTGGCCCAATAGGAGAATGAACTGGAAACACAGGGAGTGGAAGATTGTGGAATTCTAAGGAGGTTAAGGAACTGTAATGGAGAGTTGAAAGTAGCAAAGGGTCAAAAGTATTTCCAAGAGGTCAATAAATTCATTATTCTGCCATCCGATAAAATATTGAAATCAATTTCTGCATAGAATGAATTTCATGAGATTTCCAGAAATTGAGTGGAGATGTTCATTTGTAATAAAAGATAACAAATATTAGATGCCGAGTTTGCCACATCTTTATGAATACAAATATAGATATGTATGAATATATTAGAAGATGCCTGGTGCTTGATCAAGGATGGTTTGCAGAAATAGATACACATTAGACTGATTTTGAAAACAACTGTGGTGATACATCTGAATACATTTTAGAGGGTCCGGTTATTGTAGTGGTCCAGGCATCACCCAGGTGCCTTTTCTCTCAGCATAATTGCAGGTAGATTTTCTCTTCCCTTGGATATTCCTATTTCAGGATCACAGATAAAAGCATCTCCTCTGTTTGTCTCTTTTCTTCTGTGTTTACATTAGCAAGAAACTTTGGAAATTTAGCTATTTGTAATCTGTTCAACCAAGTTTTCATTATGAAGAGATTACAGTCTGTTTTCTATTTGATTCCACTAGGAGGATATTGACAACTCTTCCTCCAGGTACACGGTAAGTATTTTTCCCCAATTAGCCAGCAATTGTAGAAGTGAAGATTCAATTACCATATAGTAACACTTTGGTTTCTGGATATTTGCTCTGTATTTGACAATAATATACACTCTGATTCTTTGTATCATGTTCACCTATTTAACATATCTTAGGGTTATACTTAGCATTTATGTGTTCATATTAAAGTGACCTCATCACTGTGAGCTGCTGGAGGTTAGGAATCCTGTTTGTAACCTGGAGCCTTAGAGTAAGTGTTGTGTGAATCAGAAGTTGAATATTAATGACTTTTGAATGGGACTCAGCAGAAAAAAATGGGTTTCTATAAAGCAGTTTCACAGATACTATGATATGGAGGACACAAGTAAGTGAGAGTATATTTATAAGTTGAAAATAATATACATTTTGCCTCCCAAACATAGAAGAGAAACACTGATGAAAGGGGGGCTATTAAAAGTAATAATCATCTCAAATAAGATTCAGAAAGTTTAAAATATAGTGAGTTAAGTTTAGTCTCAATCACAGGGAAAGGCCAAATTTCTCAATTCATGATTTTCTCAATCTAGCTAGTAAGGAATAAAGTAGTTTTGATATTGTGCACCCCAAATCAAGAGTTCATTTCCTAATCAAACTAGGAAAATTGATCCTCTGTCTTTTCATTGCAGATAATAGAGAAACAACTTTTGTATTCCAAGAAGATCGCTGCAATGAAGAAGCGGGACCAAGCAGGTCTTAGCAAATCAAAATCAATGATAGACCTAAGTACTCTCGGAGAGGCACTGCCTGAGTTCTCTAAAAAGAAATCATGCTTGATGGTAATTCCTATTAATTTAAAAAGTAACATATTTGCCTGTGAGGAGAATGTTCACTTTGTGTTTCTAAGTCTGTATAGTTGCAAATCATGTCAGAGAAGACAAAGCCTTGAACATATCTTTCACCTCCATCGTACTCTCATTCCTATGAATACCCATGCTAGCCTGTCCCCTTCTAAGACAGTAGTTCTCAATATTCCTTATGCTGTGAACATTCAACATTATTTCTCATGTGGTGATCCTAACAGTAAAATGATTTTTGCTGCTCCTTCATAACTGTAATTTTGCTAATGTGATGAATCATAATGCTGATATCTGTGTTTCCACATGGCCTTAGATTATCTCTGTAAAAAGGTCCTATGATCCCCAAATGGGTTCACAGGTTGAGAATCCCTGTTCTAAGGTGTAAGTGAAAGCAAATTAGACTATGGAAACAAAAATCAGAAAGTGAGTAACTTTTATCACAGTTGTGGAGGACTCATGAAATACAGAGAATAAAAAATAAAGACTCCTGGAGTCATAACTGTCAACGTGAGTGCACATAACATACATACAATGTTTTAAACTGATTTATTTTATGTGTATAAATATTTTGCATGCATTCTCTCCATTCACCTTGTGTGTGTGCTGCCCAAAGACACCCAAGACAGCATTCGATCTCCTGGAATTGGTGTTCCAGATGGTTGTCAGCATATGTGTGGGTGCTCGAATCTAGTCCAGGTCTCTGCAAGAGGAATAAGTGTCATAAACTACTGAGCTATCTTTCCAGTCCCCAGAATGAATCTGTTTGGTACACAAATAGAGTATATCATCAGTGGAAATGAGTAGTCAGTCTCAGGATGTTTACCAAACTGCTAGCCCTAGGCCACTTTGACACATTGAAATCCAGAGAACACAGAGGCAGCACAAAGAGCAATAGGAGGCTGGGCATGTTGGTGCACACCTTTAATCCCTGTAATCATGAAGCAGAGGCTGACTGTTCTCTGTCAGTTCAAGGACACCCTGGTCTCTATTTATTTGAAGGATGGGGGGAGGCAAGGAACATGTGCACCAAGCAGAAGTGTGGAGGTCAAAGGATAATGTATATAGGAGTAAGTTTTCTCATTTCAGGCTCAGGTATCAAATTCAAGTTGTCAGTCATGCTGGCAAGTGCCTTCATCCATTTAGCCATCACACTGGCTCTCTGATTTACACTTGGACTGAAATTTTGTAGCACTCACACACACCACCAGCACCACCCGCACCACCACCACCACCACCAAACAAGAGAAAAAGATTGACAGAGAGAGAAGGGATATCATGTGTTTGAATACTTTGTTACAATTTAGGAGATTGGTTAACCTTTGGGATGGGATTTGGTCTGGTTAGCAGAAGGTTGTCTGTGGTGGGTCTTAATGGTTATCACTACTTCTGGAATCAGTTCTGAGTTGTCTCCTTCCCTGTCTATCAGCATGTGAGAAGCAATAGACCATTGCCACAGACAAAGCTTCCCTGTTGGCTTTACCTACTTCAACTGCTGCAGGGAACGTCAGTCAGTTAGAGCAGGGAAGGCAAACAGTAGTTCCCTGTAGCCATGAGCCTTTCTCCCTTGCTTAAATAATCTCTGTCAGATATTTTTTGTCACAGCAACTATAAAGGTAATAGCCTTCTTTGTTTTTTATTTATTTATTTTACTTTTTCTTTTATTCTTTAAGACAATTTTTTTATTTTACATACCAATCCCAATTCCCTCTCCCTCCCTTGTGCCTGCTCTCCCAACTCCCCACCACCCCACTCCACACTACCCCACTCCCCATTCATTCCTCATAGAGGATGAGGTCTCCCATGGGGAGTCAACAAAGTCTGTCAGATCCCTTGAGGCAGGACTAAGGCTATCCTCCCTGTATCTAGGATGAGCAAAGTATCCCTCCATAGGGAATGGGTTCCAAAAAGCTAGTTCACACACTAGGGGTAAATAAATACTGGACCCACTGCCGGTGGACCCACAAAACTGACCAAACCATATGACTGTCACCCACATTCAGAGGGCCTAGTTTGGTCCTGTGCCAGTTCCCTAGTTGTCAGTCAGGAGCCAGTGAGCTCCCACAACCTTGGGTCAGTTGTTTCTGCAGGGTTTTGTTTTTCTATAATCGACCTCATATTTGATCACAAAGCAAATCTCAACAGATTAAAAAAAGTAGAAATAACCCTGTGTCTTATTAGATCACCGATGGGTTAAAGTTAGAATTCAACAACACTAATTGCAAAAATTCTACATACTCATAGAAACTGAACAATTCTCAACAGAATTATCCCTGGATCAAGGAAAAATAAAGGAAGCCTTCCTAGAATTTAATGAAAATGAAGGTGATGGAGGAAGGTCATTGGCTAATAAAGGCACTGCCCTGGCCCATTTTATTGGTTAGGACATAGGTAGGTGGAGTAAACAGATCAAAATGCTGGGAGGAAGAGGAAGTGAGGTCGGAGACTCGACCGCTTTCCTCGCGGGAGCAGACGCCTGAGAGAGACGCCATGCCCTGCTCCCGGGATGAAGCTCGGACCCAGGATGAACTAGGCTAGAATCTCCCCGGTAAGCGCACCTTGGGGTGCTACACACAGATGATTAGGAATGGGCTAAATTAATATGTGAGAATTAGCCTAGAAGAGAATGGGCCAAGCAGTGATTAAAAGAATACAGTTTGTGTGTTGTTATTTCGGAGCATAAGCTAGCCATGTGGGCGGCCGGGTGTGGGGGACGCAGCCCTGCCGCCCCATATTACTACAGTTGGCGCCCAGACATGTGGACAGCCGAAACCCACTTAAAAAACCTGAGAAGGCTTAAAAATAAGGGAGAGAGAGTTTAACACAGATTTTTGCTATTTGTTGGTGGCGTGCTGTTGAGAGATTTCCTGATTCGGCAACAGTAGCAGAAAAAACACTGTGTCATTTTAAAGCGCGGCTTCCTGGGACTGTGCTGCCATTGCGATCTCTGTCTGGCTCCTGCGGGAGACAGAGCTTTTGAATAGAGCATTTGGAATAAAGTGCTACAATTAGTTTGATGGCAACTAGACTCGCTGTGTTCTTGGGTCTGCTCGCTTGCCAGAGGCAAGCAAGCGCCTCATCTAAGAGAGGCTTCCTGACTCAGCTTTAGCTGCAAAGCCTGCAGCTCATTAAGAGGTCCTGCCACGAAACACTTAAATGGTGTTGACGAAAAGCTGAACGCATGCTTTTCGATTTTCAGCCATAGCAGGAAAAAAGCTGTGCCGTTTAAAAATGCCAGCTTTCTGGGCTGTCCTCCCAGGACAAACTCTGACTCTTTTACGCAGGCGGTTTGTGCGGTTTGCAAGCAAAGGCTGCTGAAGCTCGCTTGCTGGCTACAGCCAGTACCTCAGTCATGAGGCTGGAAAGCTAAGAAATGGGCTGGATCCAGCCGACAGAGCCACGCCTTTAATCCTACCCATATTGCTCAGTAATTTAAAGACCCGTGTGGTCGGAAAAAGAGAGATATACAGTAAAGAGAGATTCAAAGACAAAGAAAATTTCTAAATGGTTTGAAGTGTGTTAAAAATATATGCAGACTAAAATTTAAAGTTCTTAAAGTAACAAAAAAAAAAAAAGGAAGAGTTGTTGTGTGTGGTAGCACACGCCTTTAATCCCAGTGCCTAGAAGGCAGAGGCAAACAGATCTCTGTGAGTTCAAGGTGTAGTAGTGTACACCTTTAATCCCAAATGCCTGGGAGGCAGAAACAGGTGGATCTCTGAGATTTCAAAGACAGCCTGGTCTACAGAGTTACTTCAGGTCAAAGATACAGAGAACCTGTCTCAAAAAGCAAAAAGTTAAAAGTAAAAATAAACGAAATAGAGGTTAAAACAAAGCTGCACAAAGATGGAAAATACACAGAGAATCTTGATACTGTATGCTATTATGCTCTCTTTGAATTGTTTGAATGCTGAGGAAGGAGCAACAGCTGTTAAAAGATATTTATTTATAAATACTGCTGAACTAATCCAACATAGATATTATGAATTTGGATCTAAGGATATGATACTTTGGAAAGGAGTTTCTTATTTTGTTTTCACAGAGGATGAGACGCTGTTCATTTCTTCTATTCCGATTTGGTATGATGGACCACGCCCCCCTGAAGGGTTGCAGTGAACATCTTCAGAAAATTGCTTCGCTCAACTGCCAACTGAGATGAAACTAGCACACAGGGTTATACCATGAAAGACCTAATTAACGACGCCCCCATTCAGCAGGAAGCAGTTTGGAGAGAAAAAACTGCGCCCATGTTCCCAAATATGGTTTATAAACGTCCTTTTACATTTAAAGGGGGATATGATATAGGTATGAATAATTTGCATTAGTATAGATTTTGCTTTATTGATAGAGATTTACGGTCAATTTTGCTATATTTATAAGTGTTTCTGATTTTGATTAAGGTATTGTGATTGTGTAGTTCATTTAAATATGTACTGTATAATTAAGAAATATAGGTTGTTAATGGATAATCATCGATAATAGTAAAGCTTGTAGTCATGTTAGTTAGATTTTCTAGATATATAGAGATATATTTTAGATAGACATTCTTCATGTCTTTCAAAGATTACAGAATAGGACATTTAATGTTTTAATAACTGAGGACTTTTCATGACAATGAGACACTCTGCTCCTGGCAGCACCAATCTATTTCAAGAGGAAGATGGGCATCGAAGAGGCACCTTATGGAGTTTGATAGCCATTTGGGCAAGAAACTGCTCTTGCCTGGACTATTGCGTAAACTGGACACAGAGAACCCGCAGAGAGAGGACTACTGAACTTGCCTAAGGTGAGATGATCTTTCGGGGTTCCTGATTCATTTTGAAAGAGTCTGCGAGACATTCTGCAGGACACAACAGATAGTGACTGAACTGACTTTGAATTTTCCTGCTTTATGGAAATGTCTGCTGGATACCATGGGCCTGAAGGCTGAAGATGGATGCCCCAATGGTACAAAAGAACTTTGGGTGACTGTCCAGGCAGCGAGATGTCTTTGTCATTTCTAGAGTTTGAAGTTTCTTAGTTCTTGTTTACTTAGGTAATATATCTTTCTGGAGTCTTTGATGGAGTTAAGAATAGTTAGTTATAGTTTTCCTTAGTTATGATAAAGATTATTGTAACTTTTACTTGATAACTGTTTTGTTATATGTAATTTTGCTATGTTAAAGCCTTTTTTTTTTTTTGTTTAAACCGAAAAAGGGGAAATGATGGAGGAAGGTCATTGGCTAATAAAGGCACTGCCCTGGCCCATTTTATTGGTTAGGACATAGGTAGGTGGAGTAAACAGATCAAAATGCTGGGAGGAAGAGGAAGTGAGGTCGGAGACTCGACCGCTTTCCTCGCGGGAGCAGACGCCTGAGAGAGACGCCATGCCCTGCTCCCGGGATGAAGCTCGGACCCAGGATGAACTAGGCTAGAATCTCCCCGGTAAGCGCACCTTGGGGTGCTACACACAGATGATTAGGAATGGGCTAAATTAATATGTGAGAATTAGCCTAGAAGAGAATGGGCCAAGCAGTGATTAAAAGAATACAGTTTGTGTGTTGTTATTTCGGAGCATAAGCTAGCCATGTGGGCGGCCGGGTGTGGGGGACGCAGCCCTGCCGCCCCATATTACTACATGAAGGCATGACATACCCAATTCTTTGGGATACGTTGAAAGCAGTACTAACAGGAAAATTCATAGCACTAAGTACCTACATAAAGAACCTGGAGAAATCTCACCCTAGCATCTTAACAGCACACCTGAAAGCTCTAGAACAAAAAAGGGAGTCTCACCCAGGAGGAGTAGATACCAGGAAATTATCAATTTGAGGACTAAAATCAATAAAATAGAAACAAAGTAAGTGAAACAAAGAGTCAATGTGACAAAGAAATGGGTTTTTGAGAAAATCAGCAAGATAGACAAACCCTTATTCAAACTAATCAAAAGAAAGAGCGACAAAATCCATATTAACAAAATCGGAAATGAAAAGGGGGACATAACATCAGACACTGAGGAAATCCAGAGAATTATCTGGTCATATTTCAAAAATATGTATTTGAGAAAAGTGGAAAATGTAAAGGAAATGGACAATTTTCTTTTGTGTTTTAAACCGCCAGAAGGTATAAACAAGCAGAAGAGCTCGCTCTGTTTGTATACCCTACTTAACCAATTGCCAGTTTCCATTACAAATGGCTAACAACTAGCTAGTTACCTTGAACCATCTAAATTCAGCATTAGGAGAGACGGGAGCAGACTTGACATAATTATGACACTTAATAAAACCATTAGTAACTGTAGTTTTAATATTGTCAGAACCAAACTCAAAAGTTCTTTCTTTTAAGCTTAATCCAACTTAGTTTCTAAATTAATATTAGCTATTATGTATGATCAAAGTGAGTAATTGGTCAAGGGAGGTCTTAGCAGGGAGACAGATCTCAAGTGATTTTAATAAACAGACATTCAGTTGCTAGGCATCTTCCAAGATTTCAGTGAAAAATCATTAGCATATAAATTGACATGATTAATACAAATGCAAATTTTAGACTAATGTCGAAATTTTAGTTTGATACAGAAAGTAAATGGTAATGTGATGAGTGTGGCGGCCATGGAGTGTTCCCCTTGGCGTGAAGGGACCAACATCTTGGATATGCAAAGGATTAGAATACAAACCACAATATACAAACCACAATATCACTAATAGAAATGACATCTTAGCATATTCTTGAGGCAAATAAAGTGAAAGAGCAGTTGTTTCTATCCTTCAAAGATGCGATTGAAATAAAAAGAGGCATCACTTTTATGATGCTAGATTTGCATAAAATGATATTAACACATGAGTTTTCCTGAACCCATTACCTGGTGATTGCAGTGTAATGAGTATAAAATCACCACCTGATCTAGATAATGTCAGTTCCCCATGCTAACAGAATACTAAGCAGAAGTCTTCATGAAGAGCTACAGTCAGACACGCTGATAAGTGACACAGGCTTCAAAGACACAAAGATGATGCTTAGCTTAGGAGAAAGAAAAAAGCTCACATCACAATGAGTTTTTCTCCATCTTCATTCAGAACTGATAAAAACCAATCTCTACCTCTATCTGTTTTTCTCTCCTTTCTCTCTCTCTCTCGCACACACTTCTTTTCATTAAAAAGCTTGAACACACACATATGCCAACAGATCAGAGCCCTTATATTGCAACCCTATTGATAGGAGTTCCATCCCAGATAACACAACAAACAACAAGTGTCTCACATATGTAATCTCAACACTCCTAAATCCAGATTGGAGGCTGAAAGAGTAGACTAGAACTGAAATCTACAAACCAGCCAGACTGGAACACACAGAGGCACAGAAACATTGCAGACCCGGTCTCACCCAGTGAAAGTAGAGAGCTGCCTCCTGAAGGTTATCATCTGCCCTTCACACACACACACACACACACACACACACACACACACATGTGCGCGCACACATGTATGCATGCACGTATACACACATGCACTAGCATAGCACAAACAGGCATATTAATTCAAGCACACAAGCAAACACACACTCCAATAGTAATTTTTAGGATGATACAATATTGATTATTAAGATAATAAATGGTGTCTATATATTCATTGGCACTCCTGTTGTGTAACTAACATATAAGGAAAATATTTTCAGGGTCTTCTCGGTCATCTTCAGTGTTTCTAATTTCCATGTGACATGTGTCCTGGAAAACTATACTTGTACCATGTGGCCCTTTCATTCCCTTTTTATAACTGGCTTAAGCATATTTAGTTAATGATGAAGCAATGAGTGAAACATATGGTGTGTGAAAATGTGTCTAAGGCTCACAAATCTCTAGCTTTGATGTGCTCATGCTCATCATTCTCAAGGAAACCAATGAACTGAACATTTTCACATGATGCCCTTGAGCAGTTTGGACACACATGTAGTATGTGTACTTCCTCATCTGTTTTCCCTTACAAACAATGCTTCTCAAGCTATTTTGTTTACCATCTCCACGTTACATTGTTTGATCATGTTGGGTAAGCTTTGGAACGTTTGAGTTTTTCACATAAGTAGCACAAATCCTCCTCAAACCTGGTACATGAGTCTGTTCTCATTCAAGCCATCACAGAGATGCTGGAACAGGCCATCGCATTCATCAGCCATATATAAAAACAGTCATAGCTAAGGAGTAAGGATGGCATCTCCCAGAACCCTTCCTTCAGCTCCATAATTCCCATCCACTGTGGGTAGTGGCACACTTTATTCATGCATTTCAAAAGTCACCCTCACTATTCTGTTACCCCGGGAACCTAATGGGCAATTGTGAAAGCCATGGGGAAAGCAGTAGTGTGGTGCAGAAGAGCGAGGTTCTTTTTGTTTCCAAAGCCCCCAATTGTCACATTCTCTTAATCTGGATGGAATGTAAAATCCTTGTCATAAAGACAGGAGAGGACACATTGTGTCTTTTTTTCCCATCTTTCCATTATAGAGAGGTAGCAAAGAACAGTAGAAAAGAAGGCATAAAGCTGAATCCCCTTTTAAGATTCTCAAACTCTGGGCCTTTGACTAAACCAATGGAAGCAAAAGTTTCAGGATATCAGCGGTTATAGTGATAAAATTAGCCTGAGAAAACAAACATTTGGGGACTCTAAATCAAGACCCTGACATTAACAGATAAGTTCTAAAATGAACAAAAATAAGTGAAATTTTCAATGAAATCTAACATCTCAAAATTTCCTTAAAGGTTGAAACAAAGAAGGGAGAAGGTTTCCTTCCTCCACCTAATATGCATGACATCGTGCCCCAGCCTCCTGCCCATGCCGATGCCACATCAACTTCTCATGTTAGTGAAACAGGTGACAATCGTCAGTCATCCGAGGAAACTACTGTTAACACCACCAGCGTTAGTGAAAGAGGTGACAATCTTCAGTCTTCTGAGGAGACTACTGTTAACAACACCAGCGTGGATCACACACCTTCTCTACGTACTTATACTGGGCATGCAAGGGGGAGAACACATGCTGTCCCTGAGCTTGCTCCTGGTAGCCACACTGGTGACACCATGGACCCTGTGCAACATTCTGACCCTGTTCTTGATACCTGCTTAGAAGAGAACACAGTATCTTAGCTTCACTACTGACCAGAAATCTGCTCTTGTTTGTATCCCAGGTGACACGTTGGACCCTCAGAATGCTCATATGCGGGTTCTTGCTTCAAGTCCTACTCACCGGACCAGCTATGCAGCGAATACTCCCATCATGGTTTTTTCACTTTGGGCAGCAACCACATCCTTGCTCCTCCTAACATCGTCAATGTGGTTGCTGCAGTTGGTGGCTTTGACGATGCCGTGGATATGGAACCTAATTTAGAAATCCTGCACAGTTAAAGTTAAAGGAGCTTAACAAGGTAAGTTAGACCACACCAATGGCTTAAAATAGATAAATATTTCTGTGCGGGAAATCCAATTCTCTTTGGCTCTAATATGCATGATGATAAATAAATTTCATACTTTGTATAGGACTCTTTAGATATTAACTATAACTAGAAAAAATGATTATCTTTCCTAGTCATATTGAAAATGCATCACATAAAATTAACAAAATCAGTTTAGTCCAACCAAACTGATCAAGTAAAGTTGGTAAGCACACAGTTGCCTCCCATGCTGGAATGAGGAAATGATTTTCACTGTTAATGTGAAACTTGTATTTTCTGAATGGCTAAGCAGGGAAATGTAACTGTTAGATATTAGTTTTTATTTTTCTGTGTCCATTCACTGTGACTTATGTGGACAGCATTATTTTGGAAACAAACACCCCAAAAGAAACAACCTCTGAGAATAAAACCAATGAAACAAGACTCCACATTCTTACCATTCTCAAATACAATGATACACAATGTGACAGGACCCTACATAGGATTCTATGGGTGATGCCTCTGTTACTGCTTATCTTGACCATGCTACCAATGATGTTCTTGATACTACTGATAATTCTTGGTTTTCTTTTTAGTTTCTGCTGAACAACCTAAGAGGAGCTCCTGTCATCAAGTGTCAGAAATATTTTTTGAGGTTTTTTTTTCATTTTATTGTTTGAAGAATATTTTCAGTTTACTCTTTGACATTTTAATGTATGTAATTCAGATCATCCATGTTGCTCATATCTTCCCCATCCCTGTCCTCTGCCTCCATCCCATCCCCTAACTTGTCCTCATCCCATTTTTGTGTCATTTATCTTAAGGAGTAAGACTTCCAGTAGGATCCCCCACAGCCAAGTGCATGTGGACATTATCAGTTGGACTAAGTGAGTTATTAAAAAAGGGAGGGAGACATAACATCCATCTTTCACCACTTTTGCAGATAAATTACATATAGTGTTTTGTTCCTTGAATTACTGGCCAGACACTAAAACATTAAATCTTATCTAATTCTATAGACCTTATTATGCTTTCAGTACATGTAAAGCTTGCTCAACTTTCATTCACCTTTTTAAACATGTACTGTAAATGCATCCCCAGAGAGAGAACACAACTCAAGGGGATACACAATTCAGTAGGAATTTGACTTTATCTAGTGGAACATACTGATAAATTCTGAAAGATAAACAAAAACACTTTGCTACTTGGACTTTCTCTCTTAATCCTTGATCAGAACCCTCCTAGTTGTGTGGAATTCTAAGGAGGTTAAGGAACTGTAATGGAGAGTTGAAAGTAGCAAAGGGTCAAAAGTATTTCCAAGAGGTCAATAAATTCATTATTCTGCCATCCGATAAAATATTGAAATCAATTTCTGCATAGAATGAATTTCATGAGATTTCCAGAAATTGAGTGGAGATGTTCATTTGTAATAAAAGATAACAAATATTAGATGCCAAGTTTGCCACATCTTTATGAATACAAATATAGATATGTATGGGTTCCTTGGCACCCTATTGTTCAACATTCAGGAATGAAAAATTCCACTGAGAATTGTTGATGCTAAGAGGCTCAGCTAGGGTTAGAATATAAAAATCAACATGGCATATGTGTGTGGGGTTTATGTATGTATATATGTACAATTAAAATACCTGGTCCTTTAAATGAGCTCAATTGTATTCAGAATGCATGATTTTAAAACTGTGTTTTATGTGGAATATACTTCAGGGGAAGAAAGAATACTATCAAAATATATCATAAAATAAATTATAATGTATTTCTGGTAGCATATAGTAATCTAGTTCCTTCTTAATTCACCTCCTTTTGTAGTAGACTAAAAAACCTATTAACCTGTTGTACGTTATTTTGAAAAAATTAAAGATATTAGACACCTTTAAAAATGATGTTTTTATGATGCTATTACATTGGCTTTCAAGTGACAATCTGTCAGAAATATTTTATAAAATTTAGAAAGTTTCCTCATTTAGACCTTGGGAGCTCAGTCCAGTGCTCCAATGTGGGCCTCTGTCTCTATCTCCATCCACTGCCAGATGAAGGTTCTATGGTGATATGCAAGATATTCATCAGTGTGGCTATAGGATAGGGCCAGTTCAGGCACCCTCTCCTCAGCTGCTCAAGGAATTAGCTGGGGACATCTCCTTGGATACCTAGGAATTTCTCTAGAGTCCAGTCTCTTGCCAACCCTAAAATGGCTCCTTAATTAAGATATATCCTTCCCTGATCCCATATCCACTCTTCCTCCATCCCAGCCGTCCCATCCCCCCCAAGTTCTCCCCATCCTTCCCTTCTCACTTCTCTCTCTCCCTCTCCCCTTACCCCCACCTCACCCCCACCCCCAAGCTCTCAATTTTTGCCTGGCTATCTTGTCTACTTCCAATATCCAGGAGGATAACTACATGTTTTCCTTTGGGTTCACCTTCCTATTTAGCTTCTCTAGGATCACGAAGTATAGGCTCAATGTCTTTTATTTATGGCTAGAATCCACTAATGAGTGAGTACATACCATATTCATCTTTTTGGGTCTGGGTTACCTCACTTAAGATAGTGTGTTCTATTTCCATTCATTTGGATGCAAAATTCAAGATGTCATTGTTTTTTACCACTGAGGAGAGAGAACATGAGCAAGGAAGTCAGGACCATGAGGGGTACGCCCACCCACTGTAACAGTGGGGCTGATCTAATGGGAGCTCACCAAGGCCAGCGGGACTGGGACTGATGGAGCATGTGATCAAACCGGACTCTCTGAACATGGCTGACAAGGAGGATTGACTGAGAAGCCAAGGACAATGGCACTGGGTTTTGATTCTACTGCATGTACTAGCTTTGTGGGAGCCTAGTCTGTTTGGATGTTCACCTTCCTAGACCTGGATGGAGGAGGGAGGACCTTGGAGTTCCCACAGGACAGAAAATCCTGCCTGCTCTTTGGACTGGAGAGGGAAGGGGAGGGGGATTGAGGGCAGGGGGAGGGAAATAGGAGGGGAGGAGGTGAAAATTTTTAATAATAATGATAATAATTAATAAAATAAAATTCGTACTTACTCTCAGAAAAAAGTTAGAAATTTTAATGTTAGATATTTCTCTGAAAATTGATACAGTATATATTGAATTTTTGTATATAAGTTTTTAGTAGCTTTTCATTAAAATGTACTATGAAAATATTTTAAACTGTTTCCTTGTATTGTACAAGCTGATGGCATGACCTCTTGGTGACATGTTTAAGGAGAAAGCTTCTATTATAGCTATCAGAGATAGAACAGACAGCGGCATATCAAATCACACAGAGCAGAAAGAGATGTTGGCTGAACACAGTCAACTGCACTTGCCTATGATAGAAGCAGAAGCAGAGCAGAGAGTCAGATGGAGAGAGACAGAAGAGGAGACACAGGGAGAGGGAGAGAAACATAGAGACAGGGAGACAGAGAGACAGGTTTAGAAAGAGAATGAGAAGCTGGGAGAGGGATGCTTCTGAACTAGAGGGTGTTTAGGGTAGGGAGCAGGGTAGAAGACCTAGAACACGAGCATGGACTCTGACATGCACAGTGGGTACTGGTGCTACTGAAGGACCTGGAGGCTAGTCTGTACCTTGTTATAGTAATAGAAAATGACCACAGAGAGTCAACTTTTCCTACTGCCAGTGAGAAGAGAAATGACCCCTTTGAGAAGAGGAAGTAGCTTCACAAGTTTTTAAGGAATGTTGGATTTATCTACCCTCCAGAAATCCTCCAAAAGTCCAGGTTGAGCCCATTTCTGGGTGTCTGGGCCAGCAATTGCAGTTTTGGAAACTGGAGTTCAATGAATTTTAGTGGATTTTCCAAGGCACAAACCAGTCATGTTGAGGTTCCCATTCTCACACTGCTCTCACATGAGTAAAAACACCACCCGAGCTACTCTATTGGCCTTAACATCCATAGATTTAAACTGTGACTGCTTACCTGCATTGCCTCTTTACTTTTTATGACATTCCATCACCAGCACATGTTAAGTGAGCAAAGTACCTCACTGAGGGTGGGGCCTTATGAGCCCCTTCCTGTGCGTGATTATCATTGTGTCCTGGACACCATTTCACAGAAACAATCTTCAACCTCTGCCTCTCACTTCCAAAGTTGTCCCTGAGCCTTGCAGCGTGTTGTGGTTCAGATGTCCTGCTGAGGTCTGAGAACTGCACAGTTATGTATTCTCTAAACTTTGGCCAGGTGTGAGTCTGTGCAGTCAGCAGAGCCCACTTCCTAAAGAAGCCTCTCTCATTAGGGATCCCAGTTGCTCAAATGAATAGGTGTCAGAGAGAGTACGTAGAAGGCAGCTTGATGCCATGTAATTTTAACAAAACAACAACAGAGGGCCTATTGTGTGGATTCACCACATCAGTGATTAACTCAGAGTCACCAATACTGCATCAGCATGGCAGTAAGGAAATAAAAGCACTTCCACTGGGAGTCATTTCCAGGTTTGAATTTTCTCCATGTTCCCTGTCTTCCCTCCTATGTCTGTTGCATGAATCCAAATCTGTGCCTTTCTGAAGAAGTCTGTCTGTCCCTTTGTCTGGTTTTTTTTTTGTGTGTATGTATGTATGTATGTGTGTGTGTGTGAGTCTTTGTCTGTCCCTATGTCTGTCTGTTCCTAATGTAACCCTATGTGTGAATTTGTGTGTCTGCCCCTTTTTTTGCTCTTTCTTCTATTGAATTTCCCCATAAGAATCACCTGGGGAAGGAGTGGGGTATTTTACAGAAATCACTCATGGAGTCTTACAAGGGATTAAGGTAATGAGTGCAACTGAACCCAATTCACCCAGACAGGAAAAAAAAAATTACAAATACCATGATTGCCCAGCAATGCTGCTGTGCCCAACTGTTTTGGTGGATACTCATTTGGAAGTGTTTTCAACCTCTATGTTTGCTCTTTTATACAAATGATATACATGAGTTATTCTGGATCAGGAGCACAGAAGAAGACATAATT